ATTTTATGATTTGGCATTCTGAAAAGGTGGGAGCTTGTAGTTTATTGTTTATCAGAATGCCAAATCATAAAATGACTGCTTCACGACTGATTTCAGAGCGACAGCCGTTGCGAAAACCGCTGTGTGAGTTCGAAAAGTGAGTTACAGAATCGCAGGGCTGACCTTTTCAGGAGAGGGTCAATCACATATTAGAAAATCGTAATTTACATAATGTTACCCTAGTCTTCAGGAGACATTTTTTCAGGCCGTTTCAGAACAAGTGTAATCGAGTGGTACACTTTTCAGGAAACCCGTTTTCAGGCGTTTTCAGGCCTGGTTATACCCCTTTGATGAAGGAATAGTCTAGAACAAATTTTCTAGGTGTGGGACAAGGACGGAATGATACGAGAGAGAGACGGAAGATCGGAACCTTCTCGAAGTTAGACCAAGCACTCTAGAACACAGTACGACAAGGACGGAGCAATGTGCGAGAGAGAAAGCGAGTACGGACGTTCTAGAATTGTGCGATCGCTACTCAGTAGCGCTCCCGCCTAGAGAGTTCTCGAACATCGTTCAAGACTATTCCCAGGGATATATAAGCGAGCCGAAATGCGACCGATTACTTCAGTTTTGAATGCGATACCAAGAGATAAACACCGAAGTGACAAAGTGCGAAGACAAGTGATAAAGTACTGTGTGAAGTGCGTGTAATTAAAGTAATTAGTGACAGTATTTTGTGTGTGTATTCAGTGAATTTCAGTGCGTAATTATAAAATTCAAAAAATTCAAAAATCAAAAATCATTTATTCACGTAGGTAACACAATGTACACTTGTGATTCGTCATTAAAGAAATACATATTAATGCTTCTAATTTTACATTTACTGCCAGTTCACAAATCAAGGGCGTAGAACGGAAGAGAAGAACTGGCAATAAACTCTCCGCCACTCTTTTTAATTGCCATGTTTTTTTTACACAACGTTTGTAAGGAGCTGCAACCATTACACCATGTCGCACATGACATCTTAAGTAATTAATAATAATAACATAAATTAAAAACAAAGACTTGTCCTCTATCAGCAGGAGGCATGGTGAAATAGTAGCACGCACTTACATTCTCGTGGGAACAACACGCAAACACATAGTCGAAATAATTAACATCACCGCATACACGAATTAAAGTACGACCAGTCACCACAAGTAGCACCCGTTCACGAATCACGAGTATGACGCATGGCCAGCCATCGGCCCCCTCGCCATATTTTAGGGAGAGAGACAACCCGACGCATGGACGCCGCCACAAGCAATGACATTTAAGCGAGCATGACGATCCTTGAAATGTGGACTTGGCTATATAAGAAAATAATAATAATACTGAAATAATTTGATACCACATGGATCACGGTTTGTTCCCACTTTACATTAATACAGTCGTGGATGTTGACGATCGCCCCGGAGTCTAGAAAGTCGCGTTACCTATTTATACTGGAGCAACTTATATCCAAGCACTAGAATCGTTTAAATATTCATTTATATTATAATAGGCCTTAGCAAGCAGTTTTACTTTAATGTACGACTTAAATTTATTTATTGACAACTCTTGTATCGCACTAGGGATTTTATTGAAAAAACGAATACAATTGCCTTGGAAAGAATTACTCGTTTTATGCAGCCTTCTGGTTGGTGCGCTAATTTTGTCTTTATTACGAGTACTATAATTATGGAAGCTACTATTCTTTTTAAAAATATCTATATTTTTCCGCACATACAAAATATTCTCATAAATGTATTGACTTGCCAGAGTCAAAATATGTAATTCCTTAAACTTCTTTCGGACCGACTCCCGTGGGGACAACCCACAGATCGCTCTTATAGCCCGCTTTTGCACTACAAATATCGATTTAATGTCAGCTGCATTACCCCACAAAATAACACCATATGACATAATATTATGAAAATAGCTGAAATAAACAAGCTTTGCTGTGTTCTCATCCGTAAGATCGCGTATCTTTTTTACTGCGAAGGCTGCGGAACTTAGCCTATTCGAAAGACCTTCTATGTGTCGGCCCCACTGGAGTTTACTATCTAAAGTAATTCCCAAGAACACCGCATTATCAACAAAGTCTATTTCCTCGTCTTTAATTATTATTTGAGAATGACTACTTTTTACATTTGTAGTTACAAATTTAACACATTTTGTTTTCTTTTCGTTTAGCTTAAGATTATTTGTATTAAACCAGTGAACTACACTGGAGATGGAACTGTTTACGTTATCAAGTGATGGATTTTGATTTTATAGTTTTTAGTGTTAAGAAATTCCTCGTTAATTTATTTAGAAATAAACCCTTGAAGAAATCTACGGCGTCTTATATCCGATCCCCTAGCTTGTAACATTTTGGTGTCAGAAGTGGGATAGTAAAATTGCCAATTACTCCAAGGGAGAATCAAGAGGAGTTTGGGGCAGAGTCTCCAGCTGCGGAGGGAGTGCAGACAAGGGCGCAATCAGCACGTGACACCGCCCGACGACATAGTTGTGATGCCAACCGCGGGATGATCGGAAGCAACGATGCCAACATCCTCCTTGCTCTGCGCCAAATGATGGAGGAACAGGCACGCCGTCAAGAGGAATAGGCATGCCGTCAAGAAGAACAGGCACGCCTAATGATGGAAGAACATGCTCAGACACGTCGTATGATGGAGGAACAGGCATGGCGTCAAGAGGAGCAGGCTCATCAGATGATGGAGGAATAGGCCCGCCGTATCGGAGAAAAACTTGGTGACCTGAAAATACAGGTAGAGAAAAAGATCGAGAACTTGGAATCTGATATGGACTGCAAATTTTCGAAACAGGACAAACGTATTCTCGGATTAGAACAAGAGATGCAGTGCCTGAAGACCACAGGTGTCGTAACGACTGTAGCACCATCTGGAAATCTGAAAGTACCTCCCTTTGACGGTACATCTTCCTGGGGCGCGTACAAAATACAGTTTGAGACTGTGGCAGAGTCAAACGGGTGGAATCACGATCAGGCGCTCACCGCCCTTATTATGGGACTGCGAGATGAAGCCCTCACCATATTAGATACCAAGACAGGTAAAGTGACATTGAAGCAACTGCTGGATGCCCTGGAATCACGGTACGGAGACGCACATTTAGAGCACGTCTATAGGGCTCAATTAAAGGATAGAATACAGCAGATTAATGAAAGCTTGCAAAAATGGGGACTTGAAATAGAGAAGCTGGTTAGGAAAGCCTACGCATCCTCACCAGACGTTGCAGACAAGATGTTGGTTAAAGCCTTCGTCGACGGTATTCGAGACCGTGGAATTCGAATGACTGTGAACCTAGGTCGCCATAAGGACCGCAAGAATGCTCTTGCCCATGCGTTGGAAGTGGAAGACTTTTGCAAGGATTCTCGACCTAACCGCATTAGGGCTATCACGGAAAAACGTAGTTCCCAACGTGGACCCACTTGTTACCTCTGCGGGGAAGTAGGGCATATGAGGTTTTCATGCCCTAAGAGAGATCTCCGAGGCGAAATGAAGACAAGACGTGGGGAGCCCGAAGACGTGGATGTGACTGCCGCTGAACAGCGACAGGGAAACGAATAGAAGCCAGGACCACGGGGCGAGTGCTGGCCGGTTCTGTAAGGAAGGCCCCAAAAGATATGATCTGTCGAACTCAGGATGGGAATACCATTGTCATCGCCGGAGATGTTAACGGCACTAAGTGTGAGTTAACCCTTGATACTGGAGCTTCCCGGACAGTAATCAGATACCAACTTCTGAAGTCATTTTACAAAAGCCTTTCTGGTGGAAATGTACAGCTCCTTACAGCTACTGGTCAGCCCATAACCGTTCGAGGGAAAGGTATCGCTACCTTCAAGATTGATGGAAGATCATACAGACATAAGGTGGTTATTGCTGACATCGTGGATGACTGTATTATCGGTTTCGACTTCATGATGCATTACAACTGTAAGATTGACCTGGAGAACGGCACATTCAAGTGTAGAGATGAAATAGTTTCCCTAAAAGATAACACATTGAAAAACGGGTACGACGTGTATAGAGCTTTAGGGATGTTTGCTTCAGGGTTGATTGCTTCAGGGTTGATTGCTTCAGAATTATTTGGTCGATGTTAAAATAAAACTCCCTAATTACTTGTAGAGAAGAGGTGAAGATGGAATAATGAATGATTTTATTTACAAAACTGTGTACATTTATACCTAAAAATTATCCTACACTTACAACTAATATTGACATGTGGTGCCAAGATGCGGAGCGTTGGTTGGTTGCGCAGGTACCAGGGTAGACGATAAAAACGCGGCGCGGCAAAAAGTTGGCCTTTTTCTGCACGCAGCCGTCGAAGCGTACTGTTACAACTCCCCAATGCATCCTATATTGCTGACATACACTAAGCCCTATCCTCGTCATCATTTCTTCCCATGCACAAGCAACCTCTTATTTCCCATCCATTCAGTCGATCTCCTAACTCCTGTCCGAACAGACGTGCTAATATTTTTATACTACTTCCTTTGTATTTCTAAATCAATATATTTGTAATTGAATTCATTAAATCTTTTTTTTTTTTAAAGATCTTATTATTGTTCTGTGTAACAATTGGTGGCAGCGAAAAGGGATTTTTATAAATCTCGAGTACCCTCCGCGAAAAAGTCCAGTTCCGGAAAAAAAATCTAAATTCGAAAGTGCAAAGTTTAAAGTGAAAAAATAGTGCTATACCCAGAAGTGAAAAAAATTAAAGTGTTTTAAGTGCAGTTAAATCGGCTAATTGCCAATTATGCATATTGCATATTGTATTATTATGTTCCTGAACCTGTAAGTGATTTAATTTTAATAACTATATTATCCAGCGTTATCTGTCTCGCGTCGCGTCGAGAGGAAGCTCCAGTCTCGCCATTGTTTATAATAAGATAAAACTGTATTAGTTACATAACAACAGACTCTAATTCGACGAATTAATATTTCTAAGTACTGCTACTTATCTTAGTGCATGTTAAAATGTCCACAAAGAAGTATGTCGAATTAAGTTCTGAGAGTAGTATGTCCGAAAAATTTGAGACAAGTGTGTTATTAAAGTTCATAAAACCTTTTGACGGATCTCGTGATAAGTTATGTTCATTTATAAATAATTGTGATAATGCTTTTAAATTAGCCTCTCAAAGTCAAAAGCCCCTTTTGCTAAATTATATACTATGCCAACTCGAAAACAAAGCCGAAACCGCTGCGTCCATTAAAGACTTTGATAGCTGGGAACAGCTGAGCCAATTTTTACAATCTCAATTTGGAGAGCGCAAGCATTATGCACATTTATTGTTAGACCTACAAGAGAGCCAACAGCTCCCTAACGAATCGGTTAGCCAATACTCCTTGAGAGTGGAATCTAGCCTTTATAAATTATTAACCGAGATCTCACTATCTAATAAGAAAAAGGTCAAACTGTCTGGTAAGATATCCGCTATGGCAGAATTGGCGTTACACTGTTTCATAATGGGCCTTACCCCTAAAATCTCTAATTTTGTTAGGATGAAAAACCCACAGAGCCCTAATGAGGCCACTAACTAGGCTATTTTAGAGGAAAAAATGCAAATGCTTTTAGAAACTAAAGCGTCTCAGACCAATAAACAAAATCCTAAATCCTATCCTATGCGCGACGGACGCCCTGTACATAATTTAAATAAACAACCGGCTCCCATATGTCGATACTGTAAGTTCCCGGGACACGTATTTGAAAATTGTAGAAAACGCGAATATAATAATAATCGCAATCGTAGTAACTTCAACCGTGCTAGCGACGCCAATAACAGCAACAACAACTTCCAACGCCCCGCTACAAGTCGTACAATGAAATTTCCTCACCAGAACAGGGTTCATCACCTGGCAGATGATAAACGCGGACAAGACGAGACGGATGATCATTTAAACGAATAAGGGACTCACAGCGGTGCCCTGTGAGACCCAAAGTCTTAAATCAAAATCGGTCTTGGCATAATCATGGCACCCACCATTCCTCTGTATCCACTGTATCTAGAGCCAAGTCCTATGCACAAGTTGCATCCTCCGTATCCCCTCGCAAAAAGGGAACCACTGAATCGTTTATTGATAATAAACCCACTGTATCCACTGTATCCTCTGTATCCCCTCGCAAAAAGGGAACCACTGAATCGTTTATTAATAATAAACCCACTGTATCCACTGTATTCTCTGTATCCCCTCGCAAAAAGGGAACCACTGAATCGTTTATTAATAATAAACCCACTGTATCCACTGTATCCACTGTATCCACTGTATCCTCTGTATCCCCTCGCGGAAAGAGAACCACTGAATCTTTTATAAATAATAAACCCGCTGTATCCACTGTATCCTCCGTATCCACTGCATCGAATTCCTCCAATGAATCTCGAACTTGTAAAGGTTCTACTACGAAGCAAAAAATAAACAATCCTTTTGTGTCCTCCGCGTCCAGCCTACTTGCTAAACATGTTACATTTGACACTAATGTTTCGAAACCTACTAAATCTTCATGTGAAAAATCTGTTAGCCAACTCCAAAATAAGAAACATACTCCGAGTCCTTGTCCTACTCCAATAATACCTACAAAAGACGAGTCATCTAGAACAGAAAGAAAATATCCTGTCTACGAAGTAACAACAAATTCACAGAAAAGATACTTACCTCATGTAAGTCTCAATACCCAAGTCAATCAACAACCGCTTATATTTCTTGTCGATACAGGTTTCTGCGTAAGTTTGATAAAGAAAACCTCGATCACGTCCATGCCAAATCTCGTAGATGATATAATCCAACTCAAGGGAATAAATTGCAACAACGAAACCGTACCTACTTTAGGTCATTTTCAACTTCAATTATTTGTAGGCATTGACACAGATCTCGCTTATCGATTTCACGTTGTAGAGAAAATAGATTTAGGTTATGACGGGATAATAGGTACCGATTTTCTCAATGATTTAGATGGCATTATAGATTACTATTCCGATGTCCTAAAGATCCGGAACTTCACTATTAAAATTGATTATAGTCGCCCTGTGTATAAGATATTTCCCCGTAGTGAGACGATAATAGAATGCACTGTCTCCAACCCAGAACAGAAAGTTGGATTAATCTTAGATCAACACCTTTCAGACTCTCTCTTAATAGCCAATTGCATAGTTTCTGTAAAGAATAATAATCGAGTGAATATATCCGTAGTGAATACATCGGAGGAACTAATAACTTTAGATTCTGATATTAAAGTTAGAATACAACCCCTCCATGTCAATTCCTTCCAAGTAGACCCTGATATCACTTCTGCTAAATCGACAATTTCTCGTAGGGAAGAAGTACTAAATCTATTAAGAACTGATCACTTAAATGATGAAGAGAAAAACTCCTTAACCGATATTTGTTCGCAATATTTTGACATTTTTTATTTACCAGGTGACAAACTGACTACCTCTGACCTTCTTAAACATGAAATAAATACACATCCCGCTGAGCCAATTAATGTGAAATCTTACCGTTTCCCGGAGATCCATAAAAAATAAGTAGACAAACAGATTTCTAAAATGCTCTCACAATATATCATTAAACCTTCAACTTCACCCTGGTCTTTCCCAATTTGGATTGTACCTAAGAAATTAGACTCTTTAGGGGAGACAAAATGGCGCATCGTGATAGACTATCGAAAGCTCAATGACATAACCGTAGGTGAAAGTTACCCAATTCCACAGATTAACGAGATTTTAGACCAACTAGGACAGAGTAAATATTTCACTACACTTGATCTTTGTTCTGGTTTTCACCAGATATCCATTTCAGAAAAAGATACCCCTAAAACAGCTTTCACTGTCCCTCAAGGACATTTTGAATTTAAACGTATGCCATTTGGGTTAAAGAATACCCCTGCAACCTTCCAACGCCTTATGAATACTGCGTTAGCAGGATTACAGGGTATACATTGTTACGTTTACTCAGACGATATAGTCATCTATTCCCATGACCTAAATTCCCATTGTGACAAGCTTTGTAAGATTTTTAGTAAATTACGTCAACATAATTTAAAGTAACAACCAGACAAGTGCGAATTTCTACGTAGAGAGGTCGGATATTTGGGCCATGTAATCAGCGAAAACGGGGTTAGTCCTAACCCTGAAAAGGTTAAAGCCGTTTCCAAATTCCCAGTACCAAAATGTCCTAAAGATGTAAAGTCATTTCTAGGACTTGTGTCATATTATCGCCGATTCATTCCAGACTTCTCAAAAACTGCTAAACCGTTAACCACTCTGCTTAAAAAAGATGTTTTGTTCAATTGGTCAATAGAACAACAAGCAGCCTTTTGTAGGGCACTAGTATGAATCATTACCCAACACACACGGTTATTCTAGCTGCAGAGCGTGGACTGTATATTAATTGTTTCCAGGTGAGGTCAGGCGTAGAAAAAACACCTATTTTTTAATTATTATTACACCACTTTATTTGAGCACTAGTAGCAATACATCACGATGGAAGCGGAAGGAAGTTAAAACCATAGACATATATATATATATATATATATGAAGAAAAATTACAGATAACAAAACAATTGAATTATAGATATTACATTATGTTGCCAACATAAGCTGCGCCCTCAAAATTAACAATTTAAAATCTAATTGACAAAGACAGCAAAAATTTTACAACATAGGTTGTGTAGACATAGGAATACTTAAATACTAAAATTATACATTTTAGAATCAAACTCTTTTATGAATCGATAGGTTGCAAACATATTTTTGATAATGCCCTATTGTGAACATGACCGTTTGAAAGAGTAACTTCGACAGTTCTAACTTGGCCATCTTTCCCTGGAAAGATATTGGACACACGAGCCATAGGCCAATGCAAAGGAGGACTATTATCACTACGTAATATGACCAAGCTACCAATTTTTACGTTAGAAGAAACGTCACGCCATTCGGGCCTGCTTTGTAAAAGACACAGATAATGTTTACTCCAATATTTCCAAAAGTTTTGTTTCATACTTACGGTTATCGACCAAAATTTAAGTAAGTTAGTAGGTGTATCTGACATATTGTGTTCTGGAAAAGAATTAAGAGGTGCTCCTGTCAGAAAATGACCTGGAGAGAGGTAATTGAGGTCATTTGGGTCGGCAGTAACTGCGGTGAGCGGTCTAGAATTAAGAACGCCCTCTATTTCTACTAGAACAGTATTGAGTTGCTCATACGTGAGTAACGCCTTGCCTACTACACGTTTCAAGTGATATTTCACGCTTTTTACACCGCTTTCCCAAAGTCCACCAAATATCGGGCTGTAACTAGGTATAAAGCCCGACTCCGTACGATTGGCTACCTCTCTGTCATCTTTTAAAACTCTTCTGTATAATCATTACTTAACCTTATCCTATCCTGATCAATCGTGACTTGTATAAATCTTATGTTTCCTTTTACATCACTATTTGCTGTCCATGTATTTGTAAGATTAGCTTTTAAGTTTTTAGTCTGTTGTTAATATATTTTTTTTTGTATTACTTTAGATTAAGGTACTATGTATATATATATATTTTTTTATATAACATTTGTTACTGCACTTCTCGCACGAATCATGTTTTTTTTTTAGTTTTTTCTTTAACTAGGGTTGCCTGGAAGAGATCGCTTATTAGCGATAAGGCCGCCCATTGCATCCCTTATAATTTTTTTTTTGTATTGTGTTTGATTTATTGTTTTTTGCAACGAAGTGTTAATAAAAATAAATAAATAAAGTGGAAATTGATTCCTCTAGCAGCCGCGAAGGATTGTACTTCGCTTTGGTGACTTCGAGAAGCGTGTAAGCGATACAGTTCATCTAGTTGCCCCTTTGAACGTCGAGCCGTTATCGCAGTGGACGTGGCTGGGCAGGTTTCACCTCGCAATGAATCGTTTAAAGCATGCGAGAAAAGTATCGGTTGTCAAATCTGAGGCTAGCTCTAGATGAATAGCTTTAGTGACGAAACATACAAACAATACAATGTAACCTTTGCCTATAGTTGGCTTCCGAATGCGGCTATTTTTTACCGAGACTAGCCCAGCGAAGTCAATACCAATTTTTTCAAAGACGCGGCAAGCGGTTACGCGTTGCGTAGGCAAGGAACCCATCAGCTGAGCTGCAGCAGCGGCTTTCAATCTGCAACAGGTTACACATTTGTGAATAATTTTTTTTATTGTTCTTAGACCATCAATGATCCTAAATCCCTGCCTTATAGAGCTTAATAATAGTTTTTGACTGGCATGTAATAGCTTAATGTGTTCATCTTTAATTAACAAGGCTGTTATCACTGATTCCTTTGGCAATATGGCAGGATGTTGGCTAGAGTAGGGGATTGATGCGTTTTGTAAACGTCCGCCTACTCTTATAATGCCATCTTTATCTATGAAAGGTGTCAGAGGTTTTAAATTGCTATCTACTCGATTGTGAACTTGTAAAAATTTAATATCACTCGCATAGTATATGCGTTGTTCATTATTTATAATTAACATTAGTGCTTTATTTAGCTCTTTGGTTGATAAAAATCCTTTAATTTTGTTGTTTTTGTTAGGATTAATATTTGTACAAAATCTAAGCATATAGGCAAGTACGCGAGTCATTTTATTAATACTGGAAAATTTCTTTAACTTTTCATATATATCACAATCAATGGCTGTTACTTTGACACATACTGCCCTTGTAATGTTTTGTTTAAGTTCGGGTAATTGTGTTACTATCTCTGACTTCAAATAAAATTTATAATCTTTATCATGTAAGAAGGATGGGCCATACAACCACATGTTATTAGCCTTAAGTTCATTAGGATGAAGGCCTCTACTGAGACAATCTGCAGGATTCTCATCAGTATTTACATATAACCAGTGATAATTATGAGAGAGCTCTGTTATTACTCTTACTCTATTCGCAACATAGGTCTGTAGTTTCGCGGAATCTATTTTGAGCCATGCTAAAACTATTTGTGAGTCTGAAAATAGGTAAGTATTATCACATTTTATATGATTGGCACTTAATGCATTGAGTACCTTTACAGTTAATTTCGTAAGAAGCAAGACTGCATTTAATTCTAGCCTGGGAGTAGTAAGCCTTTTATTAATTGGATTAATTCTAGATTTCGAGCATAACAATTGGATGTGTACATTGCCTTGTGTGTCAGTAGAACGCAAATACAAGCAGCAGCCATATGCAACTGAGGATGCGTCGGCAAAGCCTAATAATTGAATGACATCACAATTATTAGCTATGGCACATCGAGGTACACTTAAAGGTTCCATCTGTGACAAGTCCCTAACAAATTCTATCCACATCTGACGTATGTCTTGTGGGGAAGGAGAGTCCCATTCTGTATTAGAAGCCCACAGTTTCTGCATGATTACCTTTGCACGAACAAAAATTGGACCGATTAACCCTAGTGGATCATAGAACTTACTAATATAGCTAAGTATGTCTCTCTTGCTATCATTTACACTAGTGTAAGGTTCAGGACATGAGCTTGTAAAGGTATCATCATTAATAACGAATTCAATACCTAAAGTTTTTACAGATGTTTCAGTTTTGCTTAAATCAACCTCGCTTTCTTGGTTGTAATTATTTTGTACATTTTTGAGTACTGAGTCACAGTTGGAAGCCCACTTGTGGAGCTGAAATCCTCCCAGAGCAAGTAACTCTACTAATTCAGTCTGCATTTTTAATAATACATGCTTGTTATTATTATTAACCAATACATCGTCGACGTAGGTGTTATTAATTAAAATAGAGGATGCTAATGGAAATTGTTCCTTATATCTATTGGCAAGTTCAATCAGGCAACGAGTGGCTAAATAAGATGACGACTTTAGACCATAAGTGACAGTGGACAGCTGTATGCACTTGATGTCTTCATCTGGTGATTCGCGCCATAATATGTTTTGAAGTGAACGTTGACTAGGATCTAATCTAATGCACCTAAACATCCTACGTATATCGCAGATAAAGAAAAAGGTTCCTAATCTGAATGCTATAAGTGTTTCTAATAAATCTTTCTGTACTACAGGGCCATTGAGTAAGAGATCGTTCAATGAAATTCTTTTGTTCGTACGCATTGAGCCGTCGAATACTGCTCTTAATTTTGTAGAACGAGCATTCTCTTTAATTACAGCATGGTGAGGGAGAAAGTAAATAGGATCTTTCGATAAGTTATAGCTATTTATATTAATGTACTCACCATGATTTAATTCAATATATTCATCGATAAACTTTTTGTATTCGTGGAAAAGGTTTGTGTTTTTATGTAATTTCTTTTCCAAATTAAGAAATCGTTTATAGGCTAAGTGAAATGATTCTCCCAGTTCTAAGTTTATTTGATGTAACGGGACTTTAATAGGCATCGAAACTTGAAATGTATTATTGTCAAGCTTTGTAGTCTCATTAAAAAACTTTTCACAATACTCTTGTTCAGGTAATTGCTCGGGGAAGATTTCAGACACTCGCTCAGTTTCCCAAAATGCACTCAATGACTCATTTAAATTGCTATCACACTCCTGACACAGTGCTGCTGACCTCCGGAGTGCATAAAAACTTTAAAACACGGGATATTTTAAATAACAATAACACCACAAAATGATGACTCGTAAAGCTACAACTAAAGATATTGAAATCAGACTGAAGCAGGCTTTGCTGGAGCAGAAGAAATTGCAGGATCTCAATAATAGATTACTGCAAGAACGTGAGGACAGTGAACTGGAAATTCAGAATATTGTTAAGAAAAACACTGAACTTAAATGTGAACTTTCTGAAATACATATTAAATATTCAGATATTGTAGATCAGTGTGTGCAATTACAGGATATTGTTGACTCTTATAAACAGTGCTATGATACTCATGAGCAGGCTTTGAATCGCATCAGTGACTTGGAATTAAGTTTGTCAGAGGCACATAAAACTATGCAAATACTTGAAAATAAGGTTGCCATAGAAGCTGATGCCTCTCAGAGCTTGTTCAGTGAGTTAAACAGCTATGATCCAGGTATAGTAAATGAACAATGTAACAATATTGATATGGGGTGCAGTAAGTCAAACCCAATTGGTTCCCTATTTATAAGTTGCAAAAGATTTAAAAAATATGTCCGGCTTAATAAATTTATTAAAAAAACTAACAAATTAATTAAAAGGAAAAATCATTTTAAAGATCACTTGTTACTAAGGCAACAACATGCATTATTAAAAAAGAAATGGAAATCTTGTAAAGAAAATGTATTTAAAAGACAAGGTTCATATGATAGTATAAACAAACAATTAAATATTAAAATTAGTCAACTGGAGCAGTGCATAAATAATATGTGTAATAATCATCATGACA